GGGATCGCAGCATTCCCGCGCTCCGAGGCATCGCCGTGTCCCTGGATACCGCCCAGTAATCCTGGCTGGCACTTTATTTGGGTGGAACAAATGAAGATCTTGGCCGCTCAGCCGGGATTTCTCCCGCGGCGGGCTCGGCCCCGGCTCACGTGCCCTGCCCCTGTGTGGGCCACGTCGGGCACAGACACGAGTGTGATGCAGATCCCAAATCCCCCGCTCCGTCCCGGGGCTGCAAACAACCCCCCAGCCCTTGCACAGAGCCCGTGGGTCCCTCTGGAACGGAGACGGGGCCAAGACAAGGGGAGGGAAGGCAAACCTGCCATCCTTTGGGGTAAAATCCGGCTCTTCCAGCCGGGTACGATCCCACGGGAACAGCCACCCTCGAGGAACCAAAACTGCCCGAGGGCTCTGGCAGCAGAGCCGAGGATTCCAGCGCTCCCAAGCAAGGAATTCCTCGAGAAAATCAGCTTAGTTCAATCGCTGCGGTGCTTTGGCACAGGGATGAACCAGAAATTAAATTAGTGTGAGTTCTTGGGCACGGATCAGCTCTGGATTCACCAAGCAGGGCACTGTCTACAGCAGAGTGGATTTGGGGAGGTGGCTGACTTTTCCTGCCTCAGCAGCAGTGCCAGAGCTGAACCAATTCCAGCAGAGATGGTTTCTGTCCATCGTGGTCGGGCCTGGGATGTGCAGCCCCCCCCAGGCTGAAACACCCGCTCAGAATGCACAGGGACACCTGAAAATTTGGGGGGAAATTCACCCCAAATCCAAGAGCAGCTGCAGGGGGAGAAAGCCCCCAGGACCAGCAGAGCAGAGCGACATCACAGCACAGGCAGGGGACAGCCAGGACAATAAAAGATGGGAATAAACACACTGGAACTACTCAGCTCCTCGGGTCCAGGGCTGAGGTGTTATAAGACACCCAGTTCAAACCCAGTAAAACCAGTATCCCACCAGCCCCTGAATCAGGCAAACCCACAACACCCTGTCTGAGCTCCCAGACCAAGCCTGAGAGAGATTTTAAAGTTTCTTCCCCAATTTTGGGCAAGACCAGGCCCCAAACGAGGGGGTGAGAAGGTGGGAACATCCCTGACCTGGATATTCCCAGGGAGCAGGTGGGATCCACGAGTCCCTGGGATTCAGCAACAAAGCCTGGGGAAAAAAAAAATAAAAAAATAAAAAAAGCTGTTGGCACCACAACATGACGAGGAGCACCCAGATATTTTGGGGGTGTTTTGGTGGTGCAGGTGAGCCTGGAGGCTTTTAAAAGCTCAGCTCAGGGTGATCCCAGCGAGCAGCACTCAGGCCACACCCACCTTCCAAAAGGATTTTTTTTTTTCTGGCAATGGGAAGGAGGGAAAGAAGGAAGCTCTGCTCATTCTCAGCCTCTTTGCCACAGTCCCCCAGGACCTGTGTTCCCTCACACCGGGGCATCGGATTTCCAGGGCTGAGGATCAGCCTCTTATCACCGGGGCTGGAGGAAATTGGGGCTGATGGGAGGCCCTGGGAGCCAGGATGGGGCTGGGAGGTCGATGCCTTTGGATCAGCAGCTGCCAGGACAGAGCCCGGGTCCCTCTGGGGTCACCAACCCTGCTGGGGGGAATTTTGGGCATTTCTGCCACCCTTCCATCCCGTTTTGGGGTTTGGGTACAGCCCTCACTCCTCCCTTGGATAAACCCTGCCCAGCAGTGGTGGTGTTAGTCGGTTAGAGTAGAGAGGGGGATGAATCCTGGGAATTGGCTGAGCTGGGAGCTGGCCCTGCTGGAATCAAAGGCTGCATCTCAGCCTGGAAGACCATCCAACCTCCACGGGGTCAGCGAGTCTGGGGGCTGAGTTAGGGGAGGTGATTAAATCACACAGAGCAGTCTCTGCGCCTCCCCGTGCCAAAAACATTCCCAGGCACCACGGGATCCAGAGGGAATGCTGAAATCCTGCTCGGAGCATCCCCTCCTGGTGCTCTGCCCCTCCTGCAGAGCCGGGGTGAGAGGAGGGATGGAGAGCAAAGCGAAGACGCTGCACCCGCCTCCTCCCTCCCCGCTGCCCATCGACCCTCCCCGCGCCACTTCCCCCCTTCCCGGTCCCCGGGCCTGGCTCCAGCCGGGGTGAGAGGATGGGATAACCCTTTCCCAATGGGATAACCCTTTCCCAGCCCCTCGGGCAGGGGAGGCAACACAGAGGGTCATTCTGCTTCCCCCCCATCCCCAGGTGCCTCCGGATTTGGGATAACAGCCGTGACTCCTCGTGCAGGGGGGTTAATTCCGGGGAAAGCCTCCCTGGATTTATTCCTTCTTCCCCCCAGGAGCTGAAGGGATGGAGCTGCCACGGGAATGTTGTGCCTGGGACCGATTAAACCCCGCCATCCCACGGGTCACGCGTGTCCCTGGGGGCGGGGTGGGGGGGGACGGGGGCATTTCCTCTCATCCAAGCAACACCCTCCCAAAAAAAAGGGGCCGGGAGAAAACCCCCCGAGCAGGGGAGGGTGGAGGGACGGGCAGAGATGCTGCTGGGAGGGACGGGGAGTTGCTGGTGCGGGTCAGATCCCGCTCGTGGGGCAGTTCCCACCCGGTGGACGCGCCGGGATCTGCGGCACCCAAATGAGCTCCTAAATACCCGTTGCCAGGGGGGTCCATCCATCCCCAGCTCCCTCCTCCTTCCTGTTCCGGCTCCTCCCTCCACCCTTTGGGCTCTGCCGGGGTGGGGAAGCGCCTTTGAAGGTGCTCGGAAGAGGCAGCGCCAAAAAACACAATCCCAAATCACCGCTTTGCCCCCAGAACAGCCCGTTTCCCACGAGGAACGTGGATCCCCCCAGCATCCTTTTTCCCCAGGCCCAGCCATTCAAACACCCGTTTTTTCCCCGCCCGAATCACCCCAGTTTGATGACTTTCCCCAGAGGTTTCACATCCTGGGATCTCGGTTCTCCGGGTCATCCCTCCAGGCTCTGCTGCTGACTCCTCAATCCCTGCTCCGGGAGTTTTTCACCTTTGTCTCGGGGCAGGAAGGGGCTGATCCTGGCTCTCCCCTCTTTCTCCAACTGGTCTGGGCACCGAGTTTTAATGGGAAAACGCTGCGGGCTGTTGGGGCAGCGGGAGGAAGGCACCTCTCCCTCCAAATTGGAGGAGTCGCCTCCACTTATTGCTCCGGGTTTTCCCTCCCCCTTCCCTTCCCTTCCCCGCTGCTCCCGAGGCTTTGAAGAGCCCTTGATGGGGTTCAGCGAGGGCAGGGAAAGCATCGGGTTGGTGAGGGAGGCGATAGGGGGAACCTGCTGGTGTTTGGGGCCCGATCCTGCGGGATTCATCCCCATCACCCACCACGGCTGCTGCTGTCGGTGAACACCCCGCGCAGGGGAAAGCTGGAACGGCAGCCAGAACAGGAGATATTTGGGGAATGGATCAGGACAATCCACCCAGGAGGCTCACACGCGGCCCTGCGGGGATGGGAATGCGATCCCAGGATCCTTAATCCCCTTGCGAGGATCCAAACACCACGCGCTGGGCGAAGCGGGACCTCTGCTCGATCCCCTCGGAGTTCCCTCTCCGGAGCTGCCACTGCCTCCTGCTGATGTGTTTGTACCAATTAACCGGCTCCAAGAAGTTAATGAGCTCCAACACCTTCCCAGCTCAGCCACGGAATGTCACCGTGCCTGGCTCTGCTTTGGGGTGGCAGAGAGAGCAGGGATGGAGCTTTGCTTCCACAAGGCATGCCGTGTATCCACGGAAATTAGGGAATTACTGCACGGTTTGGGCTGAAAGGGACGTTAAAGATCAGTTGGTTCCACCCCTCAGGCCTCGGTCGGGGGGATCTGTCCCTCCCCAGCCCTGGAGCTGGCAGGGGTCAAGTCCCATCACCATCAGGGTCTCTCGCTCCCAGAGAAGAGCAAAGGAGCTGCCCAGCTTTCCCAAAATCTCTGCACTCCATCGGTGGGTCCCCAGGGGTGAGAGCAGCAGCCCAAGGGGAAGGAAAAAGGAAAGAAGCAGAAGACCAACCCTGCAGATGATCATCAACCCACAGCACCTCTCCCACCCCTCCCCGCTCCTCACCAGCACCAAACCCACCTGGTGCCCCTCAGCGGGGCTTTTTTTGGAGGCCCCTAAGAGGTTTCTTTGGGGAGGTGGGGGTGGAATTCCTTCAAAGTCCAACGGCACGGCTTTTATTTCCCATCAAGGGGCCTTTGAGCCACGGAACCGCCCGGGGCTCCTTGGAGGGGGGGAGAGATTTGCAGTTGAAAGGTCAAAGCTGTTTCTGGTTCCCCTTATCAGCCTTGGCCGAGCTCAAGGAAAACCTCCCGAGGTCAGGGGAGCAGGGGGCGAGGGGTGGGGAGGAACCCAGGAGCCGGGAATTACGATCCTTGCCCTGCCCTGGGCCCGGCAGCCCCCCCGGTCACCGCGGGGCCAGCAGTGGGACACAACATTTTGGGGGATATCATTGCCCAGCGTGGCAACTCAGCCACTGCAGCCGTGGGGTTGTCCCCACTGGTGCCCTCTCGGCTCCCTGGAGCTGTCCCAAGTCCCTGGGTTTGGTTTCTTTTGGTTTCCGTGGGATTGGGGGACCCCCTGCAGGGCTCTGCAGAAGGAGGTGATGAAGGATTCCACCCCCCCCAGACCCACACGGGTGTCCCACGGGAGCCCTTCAGCCTGAATAACTTGGAGTAGAAGCATCTCCCAACCACATCCGAGCTGGAACGCTGCCGGGATCAGCTCTTGCCTTATTCTCAGTGTTCATCTCTTCCCGCCATCCATCCATCCTGGGTGCCCATCCAGCCACTGCTCTGAGCTGTTGGACACTCCAATCTCCCCTTCCCACTGCTCCTTCCCGTGGGTGTGTCCCGTGGGAGTGGGTGGATCCACTGGGAAGGAGGAATTCCCTGACAACCCCCCCTGGTTTCCACGCGGCTCCCCCTCCCCCCCCCAGCCCAGCTCTCAGAGCTGTCACCTCTCGTTCATCCCGACAGGTCCAAACATCCCCCCAAAACCCCTTGAAATCCCAACAGGGACAATCCCGTCATGGAAAACCAGGAGCTCGTGCTGCTCCTGTCCTTGGAGGGCCGGGAGGAGCGGGAAGCACGCGGTGAGGAGGGAGGGAAGAAACAACCCCTGGAATGCCCCAAGGGGGTTTTTTGGGATCGACCTCCCTTCTCCTGCCTCCCTTGGGACCGAACATTCCCGATCCACCCACGAACCAGCCAAGGAAGAGCTGGTGAGGGGGGAGGATTTACAACCTGTGGGGCGTCTCCTTGCTGGCACCACGAGGGTAAAGGACACACGTCCAGCATCTCCCACCCGTCTGGATCGCCCGTGGGCGCTCCCGTTCCACATCCAGCAGGAGCAGGAGCAGTGAGAAAACCCAGGGACGGCTCCTTTTCCTGCCACCAAAAAGAAGAAGAAAAAAAAAAAAAA